TGGGCTCTGTGGCTGGGCCTTGTCCTCCTCTTGTCCTCCTCTTGGCCACACCCCTGAACTCTGTCAACTCTGTGGCTGGGCTCCGTGGCTGGGCCTTGTCCTCCTCTTGTCCTCCCCCTGAACTCTGTCAACTCTGTGGCTGGGCTCTCTGGCTGGGCCTTGTCCTCGTCTTGTCCTCCTCTTGTCGTCTTGGCGCGCCGGGCGCTGTGTCCAGGCCTTGCAATCCTGTTGTCCTTCTCTTGGCCGCGCCCCTGAACTCTGTCAACTCTGCGGGGCTGCGTGGGCTCTGTGGCTGGGCTCTGTGGCTCGCAGACAGAGACAGAGACAGACAGAGACAGAGACAGACAGAGACAGAGAGAGACAGAGACAGAGGGAGACAGAGACAGACAGAGACAGAGTGACAGACAGAGACAGAGTGACAGACAGTGACAGAGACAGTGCCAGAGACAGTGACAGAGACAGTGACAGAGACAGTGACAGAGACAGTGACAGAGACAGTGACCGAGACAGTGACAGAGACAGTGACAGAGACAGTGAGAGAGAGAGAGAGAGAAAGAAAGAAAAAGAAAGAAAGAAGGAAGGAAAGGAAAGGAAGGGAAGGGAAGGGAAAGGAAAGGAAAGGAAGAAAGAAATAAAGAAAGAAAGGAGGAAAAAAATAAAGAAAGAACGAACGAACGAACGAAAGAAAGAACGAAAGAAAGAAAGACAGACAGACAGAGAGAGAGAGAGAGAGAGAAGGAAAGAGAGCAGAAATACGCTCCAGAAAGGCGCGCTTAGAGCGCGCTCTGCAGAGAGAAAGACAGAGAAAGAGAAACTTAAAGAGAAAGAGAAACTTACAGAGAAAGAGAGAGAGAGAGAGAGAAGGAAAGAGAGCAGGGCGACCGCGCGCGCGCTCGTGTGCTATGGACGGCGCGCCCGCGCGCGCTCTGCAATACGCTCCAGAAAGGCGCGCTCAGAGCGCGCTTTGCAGAGAGAAAGACAGAGAAAGAGAAACTTAAAGGAAAAGAGAGAGAGAGAGACAGAAAGAAAGAAAGACAGAAACAAAATACAAGACAAGACAAGAAAAGAAAAGAAAAGAAAAGCAAGCAAGCAAGCAAGCAAGGAAGGAAGGAAGGAAGAAAGGCAGGAAGGAAGAAAGAAATAAGTAAATAAATAAAGAAAGACAGCAGGGCGAGCGCGCGTGCATGTGTGCTATGGACGGGCGCGCTCACGCTCCAGAAAGGCGCGGTCAGAGCGCGCTGTGCAAAGAGAAAGACAGAGAAAGAAACACAGAGAGAGAGAGAGAGAGCAGGGCGAGCGTGCGCGTGCTTGTGTGCTATGGACGGCTTACTGGGCTCTTGTCCTCCTCTTGTCCTCTGTGCTGGGCTCTGTGGCTGGGCCTTGTCCTCTTCTTGTCCTCCTCTTGTCCTTGTTTTGGCCGCGCCCCTGAACTCTGTGGCTGGGCTCTGTGGCCCTGTCCGGGTCTTGTCCTCCTCTTGTCCTTGTCTTGGCCGCGCCCCTGAACTCTGTGGCTGGTCTCTGTGGCCCGGCTTACTGGAGAGGAGTGTGGCCGAACAAATAGCGATGTCAATGCCGACAAAAATTCATTGATGAAGCAGTTTGCTCTTGGGGTGAAAGTAGGGCGTACCAAGAAATCGATGTTTGACTGATATTGGTCCAAACGAATCGTTTTGAAGCTGTTTGGGGTCTATGCTTGTATAATCTTCTTTAACATACCTGGACCATCCTGTCGGGGTGCCCTGTCTGGAAGCCTATAGGTGTGGGGTAGTCCAGCCAGGACACCCCTTGTTGGATGGTCCTGGTACGTATACTTCAGCCGCTCTCCTCTTCGGTCCCATACCCAGGTCACCATGGAGAAGTGAGGTCCTCGGAAGCGAATGCGGAAACGCACGTGGGAGATGATGGGAGAAGGTGGAAGTGGTAGGTGATCAAAGTTGGTAAGTGATCAGTGATCTTGATCCCAGACTCTTGTCTTAATATTGACGTCGCCCGCACTTCATCGAAGTACTCCTCTATAATATGATTGGAAAGCGGTATCACATCCCTACATATCGTTCAGCGATTGTTTGACATGCAACTTTTGTGATAGTGCTGCCATGTTGTTCTTGACTTTGGGCACCCGATTCGTGTTTGTGTATGGAGTATCTCAAAAGAAGGCAAAATGTTTGTCGATGCATCACAGACCTGATAGTTCTGCGACTGAAAAGCATTTGGAGACCTGATCTGACCCTTTTTCGTCTCAGTTGTACTTGACATATCGTGGAGCAAGGAAGGCAGGATGTTTGCTGATGCATCACAGACCTGATAGTTCTGTGACTGAAAAACATTTGGAGACCTGATCTGACCTTCTTTTTGGTCTCACTTG